CCTAAGCACAATTAATTGGATTTTACCGGAAAAGTTGAAATAGATCTACACAAGATGGAATTTGCGATGTGGCGGGGAACAGGTATTACAAGGCCATACAAAAGCTGCTACAGCGCCTAGAAAAGTGCACTGATCGAAATGGTGATTATGTAGAAAAACAGATAAATGATCAAGCTTTTAAATAATATTAACTCTATTTTTGTATAAACGTGTTTAAAAATTAGGAGACTAAGCTTTTGAGATTACTCTCGTATATACATAATTTTCGAACAAATACTGTCATGTATGCTGTCCTTGATACCATTGCAGATAGCAAAACCATTTTCAAATTTCAAAACAAAAACAGAGACAACTTCGAATGTCGCTACATAAAAGTTTTTTATTGTAGACAATAAAAATTATTAGCATCTCGACTATCTTTTCAGCTAATTTAAATTTATTTGGTAACTTTCTGGTTAATTTTTAATAAACTATTAGTGACAGGGTGAATTGCAGAAGTGTTCGCAGTGTCGAAGTTTTATATTCAACTACAAATTAAGAAATGTAAGAAATAAGCATAAAATATCTGTCTCTCAACTTTTGGTGAAGTGAAGCATAGTTAGCCGATTAAGACTTTATAGTGGATGGCTCAAAAGTATTCTCAAGGTCAAATGGATATTAAAATGCATTTGTTTGCATAAAGAAATTACATTTTTACGATAATGTGCGTTCTACAAGACATGTGGAAGAACATCTCAGATGCTGCTCACAAAAAGTGAAATCTTGTATAATTGTAAAAATAGAATATTGTAAAATTAATATACATTTCATAATATTTATGCATGTGATAATTCACAAATGAAAGCTGCAGTTTTTTCAATTATATCATTTAAATATATATTTATTTCGGAATAATTTTTAATTTTATTTTGAATATGTATATGGATATTTCCATTTTAAAAGTATTGGTTTCATTTACTGATACTTATATTCTCTTATCTTTTACATAATGTTTAATTAAAACATTTTCATCTTACTTTTAAAGAAATATTTTAACTAAATATAAATTATAAAACATGAAATTATAAATTTTTCAGATTAATTATTTTGCATATATTTAATTGTGACATTTAAATAGGTACATTATAGTGCACCCGATAGAACAAGCGCCTGAATATAGAGATAAAAGTGGTAAGTGGAAGGGATATACAGGACAAGTTGTAAACCAAGTAAGTAAACATAAAATTCGAGTGTTTAAAATAAGTTAATGTGCAAAAAGCTAATTTTACAATCAAAAATATAAAAATCATACATAGATAATTTTTCTAAGCCACGGAAAATAGGCACATTAATGTAAATATACAGTACTGTATTACCATTCCACTACAACAATAAAACAAGGCACTCCACAATATAAACAGTTGTCAAAAATCAAATCGAGCGATATAGAGTAACGAACGTATATAACTGGAGATGCCATGTAAGTCACTACATAATGTTGATTGATTGATAATAAACGTACAGTTATAACCAAACACGAAATGAAACCCAAATATAATGTGTTAGTATGAAAATGAAAGTAAAATTTTACAAATGTTCATTATTAAAATAAGCATTGTTCAAATGGATTTAAAAAATAGATCGTGTAAAAAGTAAACATTTACTTAAAAATACATTTTAAAAAAGAATACAATTTACCACTTTATAAATAAATTTTTTATTATAAATTGAATAAAGTTAATATCTTGGACGAAAGTCAAATTTATTTTATTGGAAATGTATATTTAAATAAAACTATGAAAATACAAAACTTCTAAATCAATTAACGCATTTCAGGAGAATCGACAATGAAGAACGCTATCTCCTTTGCTTTTCAACTCCAAATTATATTTTTAAAAAAATGACAAATACAAACTAAATTTTTTTAGCAGTCTCGATCTGAAAGAAAGATTTTACACATTTTTTTTTTACGCTGATGACCTACATTACAAATAACAAATACATATAACAAATAACAAATACAGAAGAAAGTCAACGAAGTGAAGTTGACTTACTTCTGTATTTGTTATTTGTTATTGTTATATGTGTATTTGTTATTTGTTATTATATGTAGTGTACATTATTAATTTCAAAAAGTACAAAAGTTCACGTAATGGCTAAAACTAAATCGAATATACGTGTCAGGTGCTATATATACATTGTAATTTCTCATATCCTTCAAAATTACGTAAGCTGTTTCTTTTTTCAAACTTTTTCCGTTGTTTTCTTAATTCGTGGTCACACCATGCGAATTTCAGCTGCGCAATAAAGTTCAACGGCGACGGCTGTTCCCTTAACTATTAAACCCCTTTTAAAAAGTGGCACGACTGCAACTGCGTATCAACAATTTTAACTTGCTAAAATTCCATAAACAGTCTGAAGTAGAACGTAGAATGCTTCACAACAGTAGTCAAAACGAAGTACTGTAATTTTATTGGTATATAGGGTCACGTTTATTCGTGTTGCAACGTAAGCGAACAATGTGTGACCACGAGAAGACGTGAATGATACGCTCTTGTTGCAGTTATAATCGCCTGCACGACTGGAAATCGCATGGTGTTACTACGTTATGAATCTTTATGTTATGTTTAAACATTTGGTTTGTAGTAATGTTTATAGGCAATTTTCAGTTACCATAAATATCGCTTAACATCTAAGTACTACTTTTTTTCCTCTTGTATCTGTAATAAATATATAGATAATTTTCATTTATTTTTTACTTAATCATTCCACTGCTTGTTATCTGAAATCTGAGTTTCACATCGATTAAATAAAAGACAAATTAATATCAATTTTTGGACATGTTAATCATAAAATATACTTAAAAAGCAATACTAAATGTATAACAGTTTGAACAGCACAACAATTTAATTTCATATTTTATCAATCAACATTTTAAAGTACTTGGACTTCGAACTCAAATGTGAGATTTAAATAAATACTTGGCATTATTTTCATTACTTTTTAGTTGATATCAATTCGATGAGCTGGAGACATTATTCTCTGGATAGAGGTTGCCGTTTCTATAATTAAAATTTTCTATATTGTTTTTGAAACCGTGTTTAGTAATTATATTAAACTTCAAATTAAAATGTGAGTTTAAAATAAACACTTGGCTTCAAAAAAACAAAAAATTTTAATGATAGAAACGGCAACCTCCATCTAGAAAATAATGCGTCCAGCTCATCGGATTGATATTAACTAAAAGGTGATGAAAATAGANAATTCGAAACTAATCCCACATTCCAACTCCAAAGTTGATAGTTAGCATGGTCTCGGGAACAACTCTGACTTATCTGCGTACCTTTTACCTCACAACAATCAATCACGTGACCATTCTCCCACGCCGATCTTATAAAAACCCCTTCCTTTCCCTTCTCGAAGGAGTCGTTCCAGAGCAGGTGTCATGAGCCGATAACTTTAAACATAGTGTCCTTTTTAATCAGTGAACTTTCCTAAATGATCGATTCAAATATTTAACCAGTGAACTCTCCTAATCAGTGAACTACCCTAACCAGAGAATTTTTGACCAATGAATTTTCTTAATTCAAAAAGTGGATAATTTTCCTCAGTGGATAACAGATCAAGAGGTAAGGAACCAATTATTGTAAGCTCTCTCTCGGTCTCTCCGCGTTTTAGGGACGCGAACTAGACGATGTACTTCCCGAAACTTGCTTTAATAAATTGTTAATTTTTCTTATGTTACATCTGGCCTCCTTGTTTACTCATATATCGTCTGTCGTCTCACCGACGCACTCCTCCCTCTGCCACTCGACCCGAAGCATTAAAGCCCGTTACGGCGGGAAAAAAAACTCTTTCCACCCATCCTGACAGTGAAAGGGTTTAACAACCTGTTGCCGGATCGGGAGACCTACCCCCCTTCCGGTGGTTTCACAACAATCTTTAAGAATAAATTTTACAACAATAAAGTAATTCATTTCAAAAATAACTTATTTCATTAAGATAACTAAAAACACAATAAAATTCTAACACTATCTGTATTAGTTATATTTTAAAGTAGGTACAATTAAATTAGTTTTAAATATATTTTAAAAATTTATATATACAGTATAGCGTCGATTATCCGAAAGCCAATTATCCGAAAGAATTCCAACCGGCAAATTTAAATTTTTCGCCAGTGCTGTGGCGCTGCAATTTCTGGCTATGTCTTGGACTACTCAAATATTTTACGTTTTTGATACTAAATTATTTTCTGAAGTATAATTATTTATTTTTTTATATTTTTTATACATTAACTTACTCACTAACTAAACTAACCTACCATAATCTAGGACAAACCTAACCAGACGAATATCCTGTAACAGCAAGAATTCATAAACAAATAATATTCCTTTGAGAAAAGTTTATTTATGAAACTATTCCAAT